AGGTCGTGCCCGGGATCGAACCGGGATTACAGGAATCAGAATCCTGGGTGCTAACCATTACACTACACAACCAATTGTTGGGGGATGGCACAATTCTTGCATACAAGTCCCTGTGCAAGGCTTAAAGCTCTGTAATGCAAATTAGCTTCGACGCTCTACCAGGAGTAAATGGCAAAATATTCGAGACAAGCCAAGTGTGCCCGGCTGAGCATTAATAGGCCCGAAGAAAAAAACCTACAGGTGCCAGCTTTCAGTTGTGTCAGTCATCCCCCTCAGTGGCTTCTCCCTATCGCTCAATCGAAGGATTGCCAGCGCGCGATAGATACTCTCCACTCCAGATCGTGGTAGATTTCTCGGAGGATGACTGGGGGCTTGACATTCAGCTGTGCTATCTGTGGATGATGTGGCCAACGCTTGAGAGCTATGACTCGGGCTGCGACCTGTTGGTCGCTCGATGACATGACATGCTTCCTTGTATACTGGGTAGGCGAGGACCGCGGTATCGATGTGGTAGGCTGACTATGTTGTTCTTGCGATATGTTATTCTGTGAGTTCCTTGCTTTGCAAGTATGGGTGATGTTGGTTCGAGGGACGTGTCTGAAATGGCTCGGTGTTGATCTTGCCATGCTGGTTCACTCGACGGCTCGCGTGTAGGGTTGGATGATGGAAGTCATGGGGTATACTGCTGGGCTCCCTGGTATATGTAACCTACCTACTAACGTACGTGTTGGGCTTCCCAGGAGGCCCCCCGTGTGCCATGGGGCGATACGCGCATGGTATCCGGTCTCGAACGGTGGTGCGGATTTGGTGTCTGTGTGACTTGGTTGTGCATGCTGCCTTCTACTCCTGGTAGGAAGTAGACTGATCATTGATCGACGGTGCTGACTACGGCTGCATGAGATGGGCGACGGCCGGTATGAGGATCTCTCTCAGTTGACGAGCAATGGATTATTGCATACTGAATGATGTCTTCGGAGTGGCGTGGATGACTTTGGGTGTTGTACCACTTAGGTCGAGGGTTCTATCGTGGGTGTTTGTGACTTATAGCTTTATTCGTGCTGCTTGTACTGTACAGAGTAATGCTTGCGAGGGCCATGTGTGTCGCGTCGACCGTGTGTTGGTCACGGTTCCTTGGGTTTTCTATCTGGTGACTTGTGTAGCAAGCTGTTCTATATTCGAGGGAAGTTGCATGGGTTAGTGTTTCTGGTTCGTGTCCCCTGATACTTACAGCGGTCGTGCAGCTCTAGGTTACAGGCTGATGACTCCCAACCCACCAACTTCTCGTTGTGTTCCATGGCCATCCAAATTAGCGTCAGGGATACGTTACGCCGGCCGTGCCGTTCCGGTCTGAAACATGTTTCCTGCGCTCGGTGACACTGGGTCTAGCCAGGTGGTGGGTTTCCGTACGGATTTCATCCGGGTGGCAGCCATGGATGTACTGTACAGCAGGGTAGTATCACGTTCACCGATGACATCGCTGCCGAGTATCACCGCTGGATATGTATCCCTATTCGGCCTGCGACAGCAAAACCGGCAAGCGATGAGGAATGCTGCATTCCCACCAAGATGGTAAGAATGTTGATCTCCGTGAGTGATCGGGCATGAATTGTAAAATGAGGTCATACATTCGTTGTTCAGAAGTCATCCCGTGGTTTTTGTGTACTTTGAGCTCACTCCTCGATAGACGTCCATGCAAGACCATATGATTATGATTGCAAGCCACAGCAACTACTAGGTTGTGTAGTGTAATGGTTAGCACCCAGGATTCTGATTCCTGTAATCCCGGTTCGATCCCGGGCACGACCTTTTTGACCTCTTCCCTCTGCAATACCAAAAGATTGAGTGTTGGGTCTATTTTTTTTGTTTCCTTCCTATTTCCTTTTTTTTTTCTCTCAAGAAAAATCCTCTTGTGTCCTGGAAGTGAGCCATGTTAAGGTTCGAGATGGTGCGAGTCCATCCGTGTGGGCATCCCGTTGGATTTTGGTGTCATCATGAATCACACCAGAGGATCAGACAACAAGACATATTTCAGAAGCAGCGCAAACAAGCAGGGCCACAACACCGCGGCGGCGCGGATATCATCCTTGATACAGCCTGCTCTATAAGCGTAGTTCCCCATCAATCAACACAACCATATCTATACATACCTATATCAATCAACTCAATCCCTCCTCTACTCGATCCCTCCCTTCTCTTTCCTCGAAATCTAGCTCTAAAAGTCCAAATACATACATCTCCTAAACCTCCGCCACCCTCAACAACCCCATCACTCCCCTCCCCTCCCCTCGCCCCCGAGAACCTTCCCCACAAACTCCCCCAACCCATCAATCACCACCTCCGGCCCCGCCGCCTCGCACTCCGCCCGATCCCCCTGCCCAAACCGACACCAACAGACCGGACACCCCAGATTCCTCGCGAACCGGATATCGGTAATCGTATCGCCCACCATCAGCACCCGCCGCATATCGACCCCGCCGTCCCGCTCCAACCACTCCGCCGTCTGGCCCGAGGCCGAGAAATACGCGCGCAGCCGCGGCACCAGCCCCTCCCCGAACCCGGCGGGGTCCGGCTTCCGCTTGCCCCCCGGGAACACCCCGTCTCCGAGGACCAGCGCCTCCGGGATGAACTCCAGGAAGCCGTGGCGGCGCAGCGCGGCCGTGAGGGCGCCCACGGCCTTGTTGCTGATGATGGCCACGGGGAGGCGGTGGGTCTGCGTGAGGGCGCGCACGAGCGCGTAGGCGTCCCGGTAGGGTTGCGTGAGCGGCTGGCCGTGTTGGCGGTAGAGGGCGCGGTAGGTGGCGATCCAGGTGGGCTCGTCGAAGGTGTCCAGGGTGGTTGGGTCCTGGAGAGCCCGGAAGGTGACCTCGGGGCTGTGGCCTTGGGCGATGAGGGCGGTGAGCTGCGTGGTGGGGAGCGGGTGGTCGGGCAGGAAGTGGTGGAAGGTGCGTTGCATCGAGGTGTAGATGGCCTCGTGGGAGTCGAAGATCGTGCCGTCGAAGTCGAGGATTATGAGGTCGTATTTTGGGGGCATTTTGGTGGGGGGTGGATGTGAGTTGGATAGTTGAGGTCGATATGTTTGTGCTAGAAACCTTTTTTGGGATTGTTTGTTCTGGAAAGGAGAAGAAGTGTCTAAAGTGATACAGGTGAGTTTGGAGATATATGATAGGGTATGAGTCAAAGGTTAATTTACCTTTTTTTTTAGAGTTCTGCTTGTTACAGCCGTTATCCGCATATCTCGGGAAGATCTCCGGATTTTAACACCCCCGCACAACCACGATGCGACTTCGATTCGATTGGCAGGGCATGTTCCAGTGCCGGGCCGGGTGTCTGGCAATTGGGCAAAAAAAAAAGATCGATCCAATTGGTTTTGGAGGATGTTCGGTCCCAGGCTGGGGATTCAACGTGCAAAAAGGTCGTGCCCGGGATCGAACCGGGATTACAGGAATCAGAATCCTGGGTGCTAACCATTACACTACACAACC